CCCTGACTCTGGGAGCTCCCAGTCTGATGGAGGAGACATTGTTCCTGACTTCTGGGGACTCCAAGTCTGATGGGGAGACACGGTCCCCAACATCTGGGAATTCCCAGTCTGATGGAGGAGACATTGTTTCTGACTACTGGGAACTCCCAGTGTGATAGAGGAGACACAGTTCCTAAGACCTAGAAATCTCCATCCTAATGGAGTAGTTTGAGAGATAAATTCCATCCTCAGATGGGAGAAATTCTGTCGTCATTCTTAACTGTAATGAAAAGGATGAGACATGGTCCCCATCGTCTAGGATGACAGTCTGCAGAGGGAGGCATGGTCCACCCTCACCCTATATCTATAGTCTGATGGGGGAGGTAAACTCCCATCATCAGCCCATTTTCCCAATTGGGTAGTAGAAACAATATCTCCTGTTTAGGGTCCACTCATTTGTGGGGAAATAGATGCCCTCCTTTAAAAGGGAAAATATGTCCCCTTTTTAAAACTTTCAGTCTGGTGTATCTCTTATATGAGAGAGAAGACATAGAAGCCCCCTTTAGTAGCCCTCAGTCTTATAGAGGAGGACTATCTATCCTTGGTCTAGATCGTCAGTTTGACAGAAGAGGCAAGAGCCCCATTTGGGGACTGCCAAGTCAGATGGAGGAGACAAGGTTCCTTCTTGCAGTCTGATGGAGAGGCATATCCATGCTTGATCTGTATCCCCCAGCCTTATGGAGGAATCAAAGTCTCCTTTCGGGAGCCGCTGTCTGAAAAGAGGCACCCTCCAACCCCTCCCGCACACTCACGGGCCACCTGCAGCTCCAGTTCCAGCGTCTCAGTCTTGCCCTGCAGTGTGACAGTCTTGAGTGTGTAGCGGCCGGCGTCTGTGAGGTTCAGCTTCTGCACCAGCAGCGAGCAGTTGGCGAAGCCCACCTCCCGGCCTGTGTGCGCGGGGCCTGCGATCCAATTCCCTGAGGGCAGTTGGCTGAGCAGCCGGTTGGGCTCAGAGGCAGGCCCACGGTACCAGGCGTAGACCAGCAGATCCTTGGGGTAGCCTTGTACAGTCAGTGTCACGTCCTGGCCCTCTGTTGGTTTCGTGGGGACAGGCACGATAGACATGGCGACTACTGCAGCTAGGAAAAAAGTGAGGGGTTCTGGGTCAACTGGGTCTGCTTTGGGCATAGTGTTCCCTTTCCACTCCAAGCTGGCTCATCTATGCTTCCCCCCAGCTGGCTGGCGCTCCCTCATGCAGCGTTCTGGGAAGGAGACAGAGGAAGGAGGTAATTTGTGTGGTAGTGGCAGTGGGTTTTATATGCCTTCCCCCATCAGACTGGGAGGCTCCAGGGGGTGGGGGCCATCTCTCCTCCATTAAACTAGGAATTTCCAGCCTTTGGGGGGGTATCTCTCCCATTAAACTGCAAAACCCTAGAGAGTCAAGTAATGTCTCCTCCATCAGATTGGAAATTCCCAAATTATAGGGGCCATGTCTCCCCTATCTGATTGGAAATTCTAGAATATGGAGGACCGTGTCTCCCCCATCAGATAATTGGAAGTTCTGTACCCCAGGTCATGTCTCTTCTGTCAGACTGGGAGACCTCAGAATGTGGGGGCTATATTTTCTCAACAGGGTGAATGGTTCCAGAGGGTGGGAGGCCATGTCTCCTCCATCAGATTGCAAATTCCAGATTATTGGGTTGGATCTTTCTGATCAGGCTGGGGACCCCAGAAGTTAGATGGGGGCATGTTTATCCCATCATACTGGAAATTCCTAGAACATGGGAGGCCTGTACTCCCCCATCAGATTGGGAGTACCCCAAAGGTGGGAACTGTGTCTCTCCCATCAGACTAGGAATTCTAAAAAAATTAAATAAAAAAGGCCATGTCTCCTAAAGACCATGTTTCCCCCATCAGAATAGAAAATCTCCCTAAGTATGGACTGTGTCTCCTCCATCTGATGGAAGCTCATTGAGGGTGGGTGTTATGTCTCCTCCATCATTGCTTGGAAGTCCATGGAGTATGCGGCATTGCCTCTTCTCTCTGACTAGCAGCTCCTTGAATGAGGAGGCCACGCTTCCCTGTTCCAGGACCATCTCTTTAAGGGCAGAGACCATGTCTCCTCCATCAGATCAGAGTCTCCCCCAGGTAGGGGAGAGGTGATGTCACCCTTTCCTCTGTCTCTTTCCTGGCACTGGCCACACAGTTGCTGACAGTTCAGGAGGCCTTTGGGGTCCCTGTACCCATTCCCTGAACATACCTGCACACCTTGGATACCCCCCATCTTGACCTGTATGGGCAGGGCTTGGGGGGGGAGGGTAGCACTTGCGGTCATCTGGTCTACCCCAGTCTCCTGCCAATACCAGCTGCCAGGGCCCCAGGTGGGGTGGGGCAGGAGGGGCACTTACCTCTAGGGATGTCATTTCTGCTTTGGGTAAAAGAGGATCCACCCTTTGGATGAGACCCAGCCTGTTAGTAGGAGGGAGGGGGGTGGGAGGAGGGGAAGGACTGTTCCTACTGTCCCCAGGGGATGGTGGCCACTTGGGAAGGAACCAAGGTGGAAGTAATCAGACCCTTATGTTTAAAGCCGCCATCCCCAGGGAATGAGAAAATGTCCCCTGAGGATCCTAATGGCTCTGAAAAAACACCAGCTGTGTCTGTACTGCCCCCAGCCCCTGGGTTGTTTAAGGACAGGAATAAGACAATGCCACCCCAGCTGTGTTTTTCCATTTGCCAACAATTGGCTGTGATTTTCCATGTGTGTATGTGTGCATGTGTGTGTGCGCGCGTGTGCGTGTGCGTGTACACACTGTCATCCGGGCCAGACAAATGGGTAATCGAGTTGGCTACCAAGAAATTCAGCTGTCTGGTTGGCCGGGAGTGGGTCAAGCCCCTAAGCAGCTAGTGGCTGAATTTAGAACAGGGGCACCCACATAAAGAGACATCTGAATGTTTTCCCACTCTGCCACTGCACAATAAGGGACATATGACCCATTTTTTCTCACTGCCACCCCTCCAGGAAGAGAATCGTGTTTGTTGTTTGTTTTCCAGGTGACAAGGTATGGAGTGTCTTTTTTTGTCACCTGGATGAAGAGAAGTCCATCTGATATGCCACTTTGTCACTTGGCCAACAAATGAGAACAAATGACAACCCAACAAATGGGTTGAGAATCTCTCCCTTTCAAATCATGTGCTGGGCAAATGGTGGTCTAACTGTTGGTGGAACAGCCAAACCTTCACAGTCCAACTGGGTATCCAAGGGGAGGGGGCGAGGGTCAGCCGGGGCCGACTCACCTGACAGCTTGACCACCACTGAGGCTGATCCAGACAGCAGGGTCTTGGGGTTCTTAGCAATACACGTGTAGGTGCCCTCCTGGGCCGCTGTCATGCTACTGATGTTGAGGTAATCTTGACCATTCTTTAGGGCCCGCCCATTGAAGGCCCACACATACTCAGGCTCTGGGCAGGACCGGGACACGCACCACAGGGTGAGAGACGTGTTGAAGTCTACTTTGATGGTGCAGCCCGTGCGGGTGGTGGAATCGTGGATGATAGCCACACGTTCCGGGCCAACTGTGGGGGTAGGAGGGAGAGAAACGGGGCAGTAGAGGGAGAGGGGAGGAGAGGTGGGCACCCCTGGCTCTCTCTCCACCAGGCTGGGCCCCTAGGAGTATCAGGGCCTAGTAGAGGGAAATAGAGCTGTGGCCTTTTCGACACCCACATGGATCTCTAACTTGCTTTAGGATCTTGAGAGTCACTTTCCCTCTCAGGGGATCTCAGTTTGTCTTCTGTAAAAAGAGGGTGTTGAGCCAGACAAAATTTCAAGATATTTTTGAAATCTATGGCTCTATTAAAAAATAAGTGAAAGAAGTCTAAATGATTGGTTTCTGATAAGCCATTCTAAGAATTTAGAATTCTAAGGCTCCAAAAGGGACATTTCAGGTTCTAGGATTCTAAGATTCTAGATCTATGTTTCTAAGATTCTAAGATTGGGTTGCTCTAAGGTTTTAGAATCAGGTTCTAAGAGTCTAAGAATCTCTGTTTCTAGAGTTTCTAGGATCCTCAGAGTCTAGAATTCAGTGCTTCTTAAATCCAGGATTCCCTGGTGCAGGATTCTAGGCTCTAAGTTTTTCTACGTCACCGGTCTTTGATTACCTCAGTGATTTATTTCCCCCGGATTCCGCACAGTGTATCATCTGCCCCTGGCAACGACTCCATGCTTTGGTAGTGTTTTTATTTTATCTCCCCTCCCGTTTCACCACTCACGTCCTGCCTCCCTTTCAAAACCAACCACTCCTGTGTCCCTACGTGCAGGTACTGCTTCAAACTGGTGGATTATTCAATTTCAAAGGTGTTGTTAATTCTTAGGAGATGGGTCAAGTGCATTTTTGGAGGGTTCCCTGGTTCCTAACCCCAGCTCACCTACTGACACACTGTGTGCCCTTGGGCACCTTCTGTTGGCCTCAGTTTCCCCATTTATGAGGTTTGGGCATTGGGTATCTCTGGGGCCAGGAGGACTCACAGTACACGGTCAGGTTGATGGGCTCGCTGCGGCTGACACTGACCGGGTTCCAGACCTCACACTGGTAGGCTCCTGCCTCTTCCCTGCGGATGCCATGCCGGGTCAGCACCCGGCCGTCCGGGGACAGGCCGAGGCGGATGTCGATGGGCAGGGCCTCGCCGTTGAAGAACCAGCGGACCTCAGCGGGGCTGGGGCTGCTGCAGATCAGGCGCAGGGTGTCTCGGCGTTCCACCAACTCTGTGGTGTTGGCCAGGACCACAGGCGGGGCCAGGATCTCTGTGGGGCAAGAGACAGAGGGGGAGGGGGCCAGGCACCGCCTGCTCCCGGGGTCTCCCCTTCCCCAGGCCAGGGGCATCCTGGTGGTGCCCCTGTACCCCCAACCAGAGGGGCAAAGAATGGGATAGGAGTCAGGTCCAATCCTGGAAGCCATCCTGAAGGAGGTGAGCATTCTAACGTTATTTTAGGTCTTTTTTAAAAATGGTTTTAAGATTTTTTAGAGTTTTTTTTTCCTTTTTTTTTTTTTAAGAGGGATTGGGAAGGAGGTAGGAAGTTGTGGCTGGGGAACAGGGGTGTCTGGGAGGTGTCTCACCATAGACCTGCAAGTGTCCGTAGCCCACCTCCGTCTGTAACTGCCTGTTGAGAGTCTGCAGGATGTAGGTGCCCGAGTGCCCAAGCAGGGCGCCCCGGATGTCCAGGCTGCCATCGGGGCGCACAGCCTCCCGCCCCGTGTGGGCTGGGCCAGGGGTCTCATCGCCTGTGCTCACGATGTAGCTGGCCACCAGGTAAGTCAGGCTGAGCGTGGGCCCTGCATACCAGTTGTAGGCAAGCAGCTCCCCCGAAAGCCCATGGACAGCCAGTGTGATGTTGTCCCCTTCAGCTGGCTGGTCAGGCTCGGGGGTGATAGAGATCTCGGCCCCTGCGCTCAGGAACGTGGCTAGGGAAAAGGAGCCAGATGGGTCAGATGAGGCAGGCTTGGCTGGTCCCCCCAGTTGACGGAGGAGGAGATCCGGGCTCCTGGCATATGTGTTCCTGGTATATAGTAAGTGCTCAATAAATGCTAGCCAGGTGCAGAACCTCAGTCTTGGGGAGGGTGTGTGTGTGCTCTGAGGATTGAATTTGATGAGCTGTGCCAAGGATCTAGCATAGGACCTTGCACATAGCAAGCGCATAGTCCAGGCTCAGCCTATGGGACCATGAAATCCCATGGGACCGAGAGGGTTTTTCCCCACTGTGAGAGTCACCAAACTGAGTCTTACAAGATCAAGTTGGCTCATCCAGTCTCTTGGCCATGACTCCCAGTCTAGTGCTCTTCCTCTGCTTCTCCTTAATTAATATACCCCACCCCTTTTCTTTCAACCCAACAGATAAACCCCAAACCTGACTAGCTGGTCAGGGCTGCTTGGGTTTGAATTGTGTGTGGTTCCCTGAAAATGGGTGGCCATGGCAGTTCTCACGTAAGAACTACTCACATGCCAAGCCTGGTTTCTGGTACTTTCCAGGCTGATAGAGCATGGCTAGGAGTGAGGGCTCTGAGTCTAGCACTCAGCCCTGCCACTTTCTGGCTGTGTGGCACCGGCCAGTGACTTTACTTCTCTGAGCCTCAGGTTTCTCATCTATGAAGTAGGGGATCATGAGTGGGCCTTCTTCATAGGGTGGTTGTTAACCCATGGAAAGCATTTAGAACAGCTCCGGGCACACCATATGCACTAGTAATACTGCTTATGATGACCTTCCAACTACCCTGTGAGCTAGGCCCATTTCATAGATGAGGAAACTGAGGCTGAGAAGGGCAAGGCAGCTGCCCAAAGCCACCTCCTCAGCTCAGGGAGGGGCAGAGCTGCTGGTTAGAACTCACCCTAGTTAAGCTTCCACAGCTTAGTAAGGGTTTGCCATGTGAATGAAGGAGTAACAGTGGCTTACTTGCCCAAGTTCGTGCTCCAGTCTTAGAAATCTCCAAAGTCCACCCTGCCAACATCTCTGGGTGGCTGTGCCCAGCCTGCCCATGCTGGGGCCTCTTGGAGGAGCAAACTGTGCCTGCATGAAGCCGAATCGCCCTCCCTACCCAGTATGCTAGATTTCTGCGCACACCCTCCCTCTCCCAGCTGGGGATCCTCTCCCTTCCCTGAGGCCATGGGGGGCTGAGGTTCTGGGGGCGCCATTCTCGCTCACCGCTGAGGAGGAGCCAGCTGTACCCGGTCAGCGCCATCTTTCGCCCCAAACCCGGGTCTTGGAGACAGCGGCGTTGGCGTCCCAATGCTCCGAGGCCCTTCCTGGTTGGGGCTTGGCTCCGTCTGGTGCCGGACCTGGGAGGGTTCGGTGATTTGGAGCCGGGGGAGATCACCTGAATTTGGAGGGATCGAGTCACCGAGGATCTGGGGCCCCGTTTGGGTACCACAGCAGGCGTGGCAGGAACGGGCCAGGGGCCACGACCTGGCCAGGCCTCCTGGGGCACTGCCTAACCTTCTTTGTGCCGAGGGCCCTGGTTTGGTACCAGGAGAAGAACCAGGTCGCTGGGGGGGCAGGGCGGGGGAAGATTTTAGGGCAGTTCTTACCCATGACCCAGGCCTTGGCCTCCCTGGTGAGCTTGGGGGTCACTGATGAATACAACCAATCAACAGCGGCTGCTGTTTTCCCAGCCCCACTGCTGTGGGTGACCTTCAACTGTCATCTTAGTGGATGTCCTGTGAAGTGGGCACTGTTATAGCCCCCATTCATTTATAGATGGGGAAACTGAGGTACTGAGCAAGGGCCCTGACTTGCCCAATTTCTTGCAGGGAGAGGGGGCTTGAACCTTGCACTGTTTCCAAAGCTCCACAAAACGGCAGGAGGCTGTGTGGCTGCACACTTTCTTTGGGGCGCTGCTTCTTGTTGGCCTCCTCCTGCACAGGGCTGAGAAATGGGCCGGTTTGTTGAGAGCAGTGAACAAGATGCTACCTGTTAGGAATTCAGCCAGTGCCTGGCAGGGCTGGGCCCCAAACACAAGGTCTGGGTGGTGTGACTGTTATTAAAAGTGCAGGCCTGGGTCCACTGTCCCCTACCTCCATGACCCTGGGCAGGTATGGAGCCCCCTGGGCCTCAGTTTCCTCATCTGTAAAATGGGAATGATGATCGTGTCCACCTCAAAGGGCTAGTGCGAGGATTAAGCAAGCAAACGTGTGAAGTACTTAGAGCAATGCCCAGCACAGAGCAAACGCTCCATAAATCACTTATTCATTTACTCAGCAAATTTTGAATGAACATCTCCTTTCTGCCAGGCACTGTTCTAGACACTGGTACATAAAGTTCCTGCCCTTGTGGGCTGATATTTGGGGGGTGGGGTGGGGGGTAAACAAATAAAATGTAAAATCTTTTTCACGCCAGATGGAGATAAGTGTTGTTTGGAGAGATAAAGCCAGGAAGGGGGTTTGCAATTTTTAAATAGAGGGCAGGGGAGGGGATCAGGGAGGGTGTCTATGGGAAGGTGATGCTGGGCAGAGGCCATGGGGGCTGGGGAGGGGGGGGGACACCTAGGGGAAGAACATTCCTGACAGACATGTTATTATCGATGCCTTGATGGCTTCTGGGTCCTGGTCCCTCCAAGGCCCCAGCTTCTGGGCAGGGGGCCATACGTGCGGCTCGCCTGTCCTGGTTTGTTCCTCCAGCATTGTGTCCTGAGCTGCCCTTGCTGGGCAGGGCTCTGATGAGGGAGGGAGGGAGAGGTGCGGGTGACCTGGAGCCTACTGCTCCCCTCATCCCTCCTGTGACCTCACTTCACCCTCCTCTGTCCTGGCCCAGCCCCCTCCCCTGAGCCCTGGAACTTGGTCCCGGTGTCATTCAGGATGTCTCCCACGGATGTCCCTGGGCACCTCTCGCTCACCTCGTCCCCAACTGACCTTGGCATCTTCTCCAGATCTGCTCCTTCTCCCTGTCTTCTTATCAGGAATGGCGCCACCGTCCTCTGTCATTGGGACAGGTAGACCCAGGCCTCATCCCCGACGCTCCCTCCCATCCCCAGCACACTGTACCCTATGGTGCCTGCCTCCTAAATATTCCTTCCATAGGTGCTTTTCTCTCCCTCCCTGTGCTCCTTGCCCTGGTCCAGGCACCCCCTGTTCCTTGTCTGGCTTCACCTCCCAACTCCTCCCTGGTCTCTGCCCTCCCCCATGGTGCTCAGAACTACGATGGCTCCCCAGTGCCCTCAGGAGAAAGCCCAGGTCCTCGCCATGGCCCATGTGTCCCAGTCTCATGGGACACCCCTTCCTTCTGGAACTCTCTGCTCCAGTTATCCTGTCTCACTTGCGCTCTCTCCACCCAGCATACCCCCCACTGCTTCCCTTTGCTCTGTTTCATCGTCTGCCCAACAACTCCTCCTCCAGGAAGACCTCCTGGACCCTCAGGCTGGGTTAGGTGTGTCCTGGGATCCCCATTCCCAGCTCTGAGCCTCCTGGGTTCTCACTGTCAGAGGGAGAGGTTTGTCTCCCAGACTGGGCCGTAAGTCCTGGGAAGGCAGGGCCAGGGCTGTTGTGGTCGCCACCGTTTCCCCAGTACTGTCCAGCCCAGGGTTGGGCACAGAGCAGGGGCTTAGAGAGTGTTTGTGGAACCGGATACTAGGTGTGGATGACACAGAGAAAGACTAGTCTCCAGGGAGGCCCAGGTTTCTGGTGATTTGGCTGAGGACTGTGGCTCTGAGAGGCTGAGGGCAGAACCCGGCTCATATCCAGACTCTGCCATGGCTCCCTAACCACCCATAGCGTCACACCGACCCTTCTCTGCTGTCCGCGCCCCTGCCCCACCTCCCTGGTCCCTCCTCTGGCTCTCCTGGACACGACCTAGATCCCTGGTCTAACAGATAGCTGCAGTTTCTTGGGCACCTACTATGTGCCAGGCCCAGAGCTGGGCAGAAAGTAGAGCAGGCAACCTTGGGCAGGGTCCTCTGCCTCTCTGAGAAGTGGGTGGTGGGTGATCATGACACTGACTTCCCTAGGAGTCCTCTGAGGGTGGAGGAGATCAGAGGTATGGAGGGCTCTGTGCTGGGCCTGCCCCAGAGAGGGCACTTGGTGCACGTGGACATTATTGTTCATTCACCACTCAACAAACATTCATTGAACACCTACTCTGTGCTGGCTGCTCTGCTAGGCACCGGTTACAGCCTTGAATAAGACAGACAGCAATCCCTGCTCTGCAGAGCTGATCTTTGGTTTGGGGACACAGTCAATAGACAAACACAAATACACATAATATTCTATCAGGTGGAGAGAATACTATGAAGAAAAATCAAGCAGGGGGAGGGGATGGAGGTGGCTGGGGCACTGGTTCATGTAGGGCAATGAGAAGACATTGCAGAAGGTGACAGTGGAGACTTGAACAAACTCAAAAAGAGGCTGGAGGTTGTGCTAGAAACAAATGATAGAGATTTATTCAAGGGTCTTGGAGTTTTCAAACTGGAAACATAGCTAGGTAAAAGCCCAGAAGTGTTCTGAAGAAGAAAGGAAGAAAAGTTAAAAGCTCTTATACCAAAAAGTGCATCTGTGAGAAGGATCAGTCCTGCATTCTTAGCCCTAGGGTTGGTCCAGGACAGTTAGTAGTCAGATGTCAGGCCGTCCGGAGGTGGGTGCCAGGAGGTCTGGTCACGTTCTGGTGGTCTGGATAATGGGTGGCGGGTGGCCCCCATATGTGAATCCTTCAGGGGATAATTAGAGGGCTACCTGGAGGCCCAGATGCACATCCAGGCACCGATGCAGGACTGCAAAGTTCAAAACAGTTTAAGTTCCAGGCTAGTTAGAACAAGAATGGAGTCTTCTCATGCCTCAACTTTCATAGTGTTAATAATTTTAGCAGCTTGGTTAAAATAACTCCATTTTATATATTCCCTATCTTCACTCTCTCTTCAGACTCAAGAAGGAAGCCATGCTGATTCTGGGGGAAGAGCATTCCAGGCAAAGGAAACAGCAAGTGCAAAGGCCCTGAGGCAGGAGCATTTTGGTGAGTGTGAGGCCAGTGAGCCTGGAGCCCACCTTGCAGACAAGGAAACTGAGGCTCAGGGCCATTGCTTCAGGAGGTTGGAGTGGGCAAGTCTTATCTTCTCCACATAGCCAGCTGGGGACACGGTTCTCTGACTCTGTTTTATCAGCTCCCTCCCCCCACTTCCAGCCCTCTTATCTCAGTAGCCACATCATTAGTTCCTTAGGGAGCAGGAGGCTGCCTAGAGCCTCCTCATTTGTTCTCCTGGATGAGTCCCCACCCACCACTGACTTAATCTATATTTGTTAGATGGAAACAGCGGTGGTGGCAGAACCCTTGTCCTGTCCTCCCTGGCCAGAGACCTTGAAGCTGAGGGGTTGGCTAGCAGGTTTCTGAGCCCCCCTCTTCCCCTTATCTCGCCAGGGCGAGGCTGAGGGTGCTGCAATATTTACTCATGGATCTGATCTCAGGGTGTGGCTTCCTGTGCCAGCTGGCAAGGTCTGGGCTTGGCCCTGGGGAGGCTGTTTTTGGAGATAAAGGACCCCATGTCCCCTTAATTCCTCACCCCAGAAAAAACACCCAGGCTACTGTGCAAGAGGGGACCGTGGACTGCATGAGCAAGCCTGAGACTTGTGCCCAGGCTGTCCCCTTTGTGTGGATATCGTCCCTTCCCCCCTCCCCTCCCGTTTCCTGTCTCACCTCCCTCACCTGGGGTTTTCCAAGTCATTCAATCATTGAACACATATTTATTGAGCACTGACTATCTGCCAGGCTGTGGTTGGACAGGCAACATCCCTTCCCTTAAGGGACCAAATCCTATTGGAGGGAGGTGGGCAATAATTAAACAACTGATATAGCATATCAAATCAGGGAGAGATAAGTGCTATAAAAAATAAAATAGGGCAAGAGGATAGGGAGTGACTCGGGTTGCTCTTTTCGCTAGGGAAATCGGGGAGGACCTTTCTGAGGAGATGATGTTTGAAGGGAGACCTGAATGTCTCAGGGAAGAGTGGTTTTGGCAGAAGACACAGCAAGTGCAAAGGCCCTGAGGCAGGAAGGTCTTTGATAAGTGTGAGGATAGCAAGGAGGCTGATATGGCTGGAGCTGAGTGAGGGAAAGGAACCACGGGGACAGACGGATATGGTGGTTATAGAGGGAGTATCTTGTCTCTCTTTCTCCACCCATGCCCCTCCCCCATATTATTTTAAAGCAAATTCCAGCCATTATATTATTTTATTCATTGACACTTCAGCCTGGATCTCTAAAAGATAAGGCCTCATTAAACAAACAAACAAACCCCCTCAAAACACTCACAATGCCATTATTTCACATAAAAAGGAAGAAGAAAATGAACAAT